GAGCTTACTATAACTGTGCTGGAGGAAGACTAATCCGGAAGCAGATTGGACTGCAAGGAAGAGGCGGGAGGCAGCAGGTGAATGTGGGAAGCTTTATTGAGGCATCCAGAAAAAAATCAGGTTTAGAATAAGAGTATTGAGGCACCAGTAGAAAGGAAAGTCGACATTCAAAGGCAAATGCTCAAATTTTCCTTTCTCCTTCAAGCTCGTGGGTCTGTTCACACACGGTTCCCTCTTTTTAGGCCTCCTCATCCTTTTCCCCCACATCTAATTAGTTCTCAAAGTTCAGTTCAGAAGCGGTGTCCTAATAATTCTTCCTCCTCCATCTCCCCACAGCCTCTACCGTGTCCTCCCTCATCCCGTACACACTGTCTGTGTTTATCTTTGTACGTACACCATACTTGTCTGCTTATCTGACTCTGTCTTTCATTAAAACAGGAACTCCTGAATCTGAGTAGCACAAGATCTGGTGCAATAAACACAGTCATAAATGATTAATTCATTCACATCTATTGTTGGAACTCAACATTTCCAAGTATGTTGCAGCTGTTGTATCACATTTACATTTTCTTATAAGAAACTGCAATCATAGAACTTCAAAATACTGAAGCTGTCGATCAAGAAGAAAGCACTAAACATTTATCAGGAAGTTGTCAGTTCCCTAAAACTTTCGAGTCATCTTGTTTAGCAAGTGAGAATTCTTCCTCTATAAATAGCGATGATGATATGAATTTCAAGAGGAGATTAAAAGCCTCCAGGCTCATTCTCACTGCAGAAGAAGTTCACATCTACAAAGTGGCAGGTTCTCTTTCCTGGGGCTCAGAACACTCCTTTCCCCACCTGGCACAGCAGTGTTGGTTGGCTGGGGAGAAGAAAAGCAGAAGGAGTCCTCTGAAGCTGGACTAAGCACTGCCCTGAGCTCAGCAGGAACCCAGCACAGACACGGTAAGAGGGGAGAACTTGGGGCTGGGATGTGCAGGGCAATGAAGATGGTCAGAGGTGAAGGTCAGCGTCTCAGGGGAAGAGGTAGAAACCAAGGTTTCCGATGTGAGGGTTACTGACTGCGGGAGCACAGGTCAGGAGGGGCACGGGATGTGCCAGTCAGGGGAGGGGTCTGCTCACCTCAGAGTCTTTTCACTGTAATTGCGAGACTATGTGAGAGATTTTTAGGAGTTGTGAAATCTTTAAAGGCAAAACAAAAATGTAAATTGTTTTGATCAATAATTTTGCTCTTATTGTTTCTACTATTACCATGATCTTCCCTTTCCTTACACAGAAAAGATGAGCAAGTTTGACATTTCCTCTCCTATTGCTGCTGGGGTTATTTGGGCTACTGTGTCCTCTTTGGGCTGTGCCTCCAGTCCTCAGCAGGGCTCAGTGGTTTGACATTCAGCACATCCAGCCAATTTGATTCCAATGCACTGAGGCAATGAGTGATGTCAACAACTGTTCCTGGTAATGTAAGCATACAAACATCTTTCTGCATGGTTCTTTCCAAAATGTGAGTGATTCCTGCATTTTGGCCAACATCATCACAAGAATGGTCAGAAAATCTGCCACCAGAGTGCAAATTCTGTCAACCGGACTATCTGTAGGCTCACCAGAAGGGACTATCATTACTGTAGATACAAAGATGTTACCCAGTTCAGAGTCTTCGTTGTGGCCTGTGATCCACCTTAGAAGAGTCACCCTCCTATCCCTATCCACTGGTTCCTGTACACATAGACAAGGCTGTAAGAGTGTAAATAAGAGTGTAAGACTGTACACTTAGATACGGTTTTGATTACATTTCTGTTATGGTTTTTGTCTGGGGTCCCCCCAAAGACACATGCAGTCATGGGGCCAGCTTTTAGAGTTTAAAATTGATTCATGGTCTAATGTTGGAGTTACGGATGTGAGTGCTACACCTACCCTCAGGTGGGTAGTTTGCATTTCAATGTAAGGGAGGGAAAGAGGCTGCTTGCCACAGCTCCTCCTTTTTGCTTTTGTTGGTTTTGCTATCTTCCACCACTATGAACTGTTACCCTCTGCCCTGTGCCACCTGGCCTTGGGAGCCAGCCAAGTACAAACTGAAACCTCCACAAACTGTGAGCTAAATAAACCTTTCCTTCCTTCCTTAATTTTGGGCATTGGGCATTTTGTCTCAGCAAAGAGAGAAAAGTAACCAAGACAATTTCCCTTTTTTTTTGTCTTTTTGAGACAGGATCTCACTATGCAGTTCAGGCTGGCCTTGAACTTACTTTGTAGCCCAGGCTGGCCTGGAACTCAAACTTGCAGCAGTCCTCCTGTCTCAGCCTCCTGGGCTCCACCATGCCAGACCTACATTTCTTTTCTTTTGACACAGTTTCTCCTTTTTCTTTTCTATTTAATGTCTTGCTCCCTCAGAAAAAAGGAAGATGTTGAGAAGATAAGAGTGCTTCAGCTATTGGATTGGACTAGGGAATTATCTAAATCTAAATCTATATCTACATCTATCTATATCTATATCTGATCTATATCCATATCATCTATACCTAATCTATCTAATCTAGTCTATGTCATCTATGTCTATATCTATCTATTCTGCTTTGGAGATCTGTTTGTGTTGAGGCAGGGTAAATATGGAAAGAGGGAAGAGGATATTGGCCTTTGGGACTTTTGCCAAATTTTAATGCACTGCATTCACAATAAAACCACTTCCTACTGCCTGCTAGTGAATAACTGTTTTTATCCTCTTTCAAATCATCACCTTCCAGTATTCTCAGAACTGCTTTGGTCTTAAGTCCCTGGACCACCTTTGAGGTCTGCCTGAGAACTCAGCCACTTTCCTTGCCTCTGTGTCCTTGGGACTGCAAGCAAGGTAGTCCTCCATCCCTTTAAATGCTCTTCATGATTTCACTTATTTCCTTGAAGCCATTGCCTATACTTATTTGGAAGTGATGCTGATCCCTCAGACAGAGAGTTGATAGTATTTTTTTTCTCCAAAGGGTGGACTAGGGCTAGGAGGCTAGGTATTAAACTCAGGGAGTGCTGAAATACATCCCCAGCCCTTTTGATTTTTTCATTTGAGACAAAATCTGGAGAAGCTTCCCAGGTGGCCTTGAACTCATGATCCTCCTGCCCTCACCTTCTGATTTCTGGGGTTATAGGTGTGCACCACTGTGCTCAAAACATCCACAGTCCTGCATTAATTTTTTTTAAATTCCAAGACAGACTTTCTAAATTAACATGCTGGCCTGAAATTTGCAATCCTGCTTCACACTCCAGAGTAGCTAGCATTAGAGTTGCGCACTACCACCGCTGACTCCAGACCATGTTTTCTTTATGCTATTCTTGGTTTCATGCCTAGGTTTTAGTATCTTTAAGATGAGCATTTTGTAGTCAGATGACAAGAGGCCATTCTTAGGCTGATGTTCCTTAATGCCACAGATGTATTGTCCTGCGCGCCCATAGTCATGTCCCATGAAAACACATTTGTCCCTATTGCACAACAATCCCGTGTCCCCGTGTGTCAGGGCTTGCTCCTTGAGTAATTATATGGCGGTGTTTGTGAGCAAGTAAGGAGAGGTGAGGAGGACAGTTTCCCCTGCTGGTCAGCAGTATTGGCTAGCACTATACCCTCACCAGCAGGTTTCCAATGAAGCCAAGAAACTTCCTGACCCCACTTTTGTGTTTTTTCACTGCTCCCCTGATTGTACCTGCACCTCAGGCTGTCCCTGCTGTGGGCTCTGAGCCAAGGCAGAAGTTCTGTGGGTTGTCAGGCCTGGGGAGACGTGTGAGCCCAGGCAAGCTTTGCCTGTCAGAAACTGTCTAAAGTGATCTGCAAGGAAAATCTGCCCTAGCGAAGTATGTGACATCTCCTAAGACGATCAAGACCTCTAAAGTGGATTTAAGCTGAAAGAATTCCACTGAACTAGTCCCGATATCAGTGTGTGATTTTTCTAGAGATTCCTAATCATACATAAGTAAGAACTGTATGCCAGTGCCACCCACTAGCCAGTGGGTGGGCACACAACTGGAAAATCCCAGCTGTAAGGGGGCTTTGGGATCGCTGAGCCTCTCCCCTGGATCAGGAAACTGGTTCAGAGAGGGATACAGACTTGCCTCACGAGCACAGGGAGCTGTCACAGGGCTGGGACTCAACCACAGGCCCCTGCCCAATTATCCACCACTGCAGACTCAGGGTAAGTGCAAAGGGAAGGAAACTGAGCCCCAGCATAGAAGAAGCAGCAAGAAAAAGCTAGAGAATAAAGTGAGGGTGTGGCAAACCTTAAAACACAGCCATCACACACTAGAGCCACATGCCCTGTGTTCTCAACCCACACATATTAGCAGCTCGGTCATGGACTATGAAGATGATCACGGCTTGATCAGCCTGTGAACCTAAAACTTCTCCAAAAAATAGTCTATTATATATTTCTTTAAAAAAAAAAAAAAACAGAATCAAATGGGAAAGAACCTTGAGGACGAAGGGAGGAATCTGAGAAGACACCTTCCCATATACACTTATTAAGACCTACAAACAAACAATATATCCAAACTTAAGGACTGATTTGCAGAAGGACTATGTAATGTATCTCATAGGGAGTAGCTACCAGGAAGCAGTCTGAGAACTTTGCAGATGTACCAGTACCTCATCTTAGGGAGGTCTGCCTCCCAGCAGAAGTCTACTTGGTATCCCTCAATTCCAAAGCCTCTAAGTCCTTTCAGTTCTATGATTTAGGGTCCTAACTGTCTAAGAGTCATTTTCTGGTGTGAAAATAGCTCCCTCAACAAAAAATAAAACAGACATTTAGGATCATAGTTCCACAGACTCCTCCTTTCCACCCTGAAGCATGGCAGGGTTTTAGTGCCCATGCTCTCCCTCCTGTGCCAGAGAATTATGACATCTGAGTTCCACCTCTGCCAGTGCATAGCCCTACTATGCACCCGGATGTGACACCCTTTTATCTAAAACAGCGCACGTTTAAAAATTTGGACTGGACATACAGGAATTGATAAGAAAGAGAATTTTCTCATGTCACTCACACCCCAGAGTCTGAAGCGGGGAGGCTTTTAAATTTTCCATTTGCTGTTCACCAGAAAGAGTCAGACTTACATCTCTCACTCCTTGCTGAAAAGCAACCTCAGAAACAGTACCCAGGCAGGAATCCAGTGACTGCAACTATGTTTTATTGAAAGAAGCAGTGGAGGAGTTAATATGGGGCCCTCATTACCACCCACTCTTCAGCCCCAAAGCCATGCAGGAGCAGGACTCAGGAGAAGGAAGCATGTGTGTGTTGGACAGGAGCCCTAACTGCAGTTATTTCCTTTGGGGCAAGGAGAGAAGAGGGGAAGGGCAGGTGTTGAATTAAAGTGGCAAGATGGACATCTCACTGCTCTGGCTTAGGTAGAAGACTACACAGAAGCATCAAAGTGCACCGGCACATACGGGTTCCCCTCACAGGCCACGATGATGCCCTTGTTCTCCCGGCTGGTGCGGTATGAGCAGTTGGGGTACTTGGAGTTGCTTGTCAGGCGGCAGTCAGTGATGTGCATGTTGGAGTTGCTCTGGTAGCAGTTGGACTGCCCGTTCTTGCAGGGCACATTTTTCTGGAAGCAGACAGCCTGGACATCTGCCAGGGGCTCATGCACGAAGGTGTTCACTGGCTTGCAGTATCCCTGTGTCATATTCCGGCCCTTCATCATTTCATTGCAGTAGTTAGCATTGGTGCTGGGGGAACCGCTGGAGTCCATGTGCTGCCGCTGGAACTTCATAGCCGAGGATTCTTTGCCCAGGGAAGGCTGCACCCACCCCAGCCCTAGGAGCACCAGGATGAGCAGAGAGAACAAGACAAGGGACTTCTCCAGAGTCATTGTGACCTCACTGTGCTGGGAAAGCCTAAATGGGCAAAGGAAGAGAAGGAAGAGCATGCCTTGAGCAATTGAACTCTGGCTCCCATCTGCTGCTTTCCAGGATGCAGCCTCCCTTTCCAGATTCATGGGTTTTCCAGAGAGATTTTCCAAGTGATGGCACACTCATGCCTGAGCTTCTCAGCATGCATGGCACCCCCACTAGTTAGACATCATCCTCCCCTTTACGTGGTAACTTAATGTCATCTAAAGTCCTGGCAGTGCCTCATCTGAATGCTGGATTTTCTTCACCTAAAATACATTTGAAAAATAAAATACATTTCCCGCAGTGTTCAGACAGCTCATCAGAAGATCATTCTGAGCAAACTCTGAGGCAAGTTTGGTAAATTTTATCACTGAGTTAGTGCCGTGAGTCTGGGGTGACAGATGACAGAGCCCATTGTCTGAGCGCACAAAGAAAACTCAGTGCGGTGTGTGACACGGCGTCATAAAGGGGCTCTGTTGTACTCCAAAGAGAGAGCCTGGCTTCTCTCCACTCTGGGGTCCCTGCAGCCCATCCGTTCTTTGCACTCGCCTCTTTTGGCCCAGCCCCCATTCCACTGCCCCAGCAGATGGTTCCCTGGCCCGAGAAATTTTGGTGTTAGTGGGAACCCAGCTTTCTCAGCATGCCAGCCACGTTGGCTTCTCTTCTCCAGCTTCCAGCAGTGGACACTCCTGAGACCACCACTTAGACCACTTACCTGAGTCTCCAGAGGGGCAGGTCAGTTTCTGCAGTCAATCTTGGAAGCACAGTCTTTATACAGATTGCAAAGGGTTTGGCTACCAAGAAAAGTGGGAGGAGCATTTTAGTTTCCAATCAGATTAAAAACAAGAACATTGTGTGAAAAGGGTGGTTAATGGCCCAGGCAAACCCCTGTTTAGGTTTAATGGGAGGGAGAGGGAATCTGCCTATAGGACTCTCTCTCCCATGTAAACCTCATCTGTCTCCTAATGCACAGGCAGTTGCAGAGAAACCACCACAGCACAGGCACACAGGCCTCGCACACCCAGCGAAGTCCGCTGAGCTCTCTGCCTGCTATTTTCACTCGGGCGTTTACAAAGGGCAAATGAGGCGATTATGGGCAAGGGAAGCCCTCCCTATCCTCAGCTGTCTTGAAATGGTATTTGCCAGAGTTCCACATCTCCCAACAGCACTTCTGCTGGGAAGAAACTGGGGGAAGGAGGGGTTCTCTGCCTTCAGCCAAGAGCTGTCCTAGACCGGGAGAAGGGAGAGGGTGTCTGGACTGGGAGGACAAGGAGGGCTCTAGGGTGAGCCTACCCGCCACTTTCCACCCCCTCCATGTCTCTCCTGTGCACTGAGGGTGCTTGGACAATTTTTATACAGTGACCACTGACCTTATATGTCAGATCTGGGTAAAGGGATGAATGATAAACCATATATATAT